AAACAGTATGATATGCATATGAGACATACACAAGAATAAAAATGAATAAGAGGTATAATATTAAAAAATAATTTTTAATTATCTAAGGCCCCAAACTTGTTTTTCTTGTCACCTCTCCCCATTATAAACAGTCACAGATGCATAGTCACATTCTGGTGTTGTCTCTTTACATGTCTCCACTCTGAGAGTTCCTCTAAGATTGGAGCAAGGCAGTAGTTATTTCTGAATGGTTTTTATTCATCTTTGTGCTTCTGTATTCCTATGTCCTGGCACACTGTCCAACAAAGAGATCAAGAGATGCTTAAATGCTCACTAAGTGGATTTGAGGTGTTTTGTTTTTTTTATTACATCTTTTGAATGATTTTTGAAGGATAAATTCCAATTGCTAGGGCACAAGAGTTAAGCTACAGGTTTGAACACCACATTCTAGCTGTGTAAATTTGAGTAACTTCCTTCTCTTGTCTCTCAGTTTATTCATCAGTAAAACAGAGAAATATTTTATCTACTATATAGGGGGGTTATATGCCCCAAACACCTACCACAGTACCTGGGTAACTTTTATTATTGATCAACACAGACAATCTTTAAAATTGCTCTCGCTACCACTGCCAAATTAAAAGCAAAGCTCCTGCTGCTGATTTCTGGTGTAGTCAATGGGTCACTTCATCGCCTTTACTTCGACATAATTTGACCCTTTATATGATATACTGCATGTCAGTAACAGCCAACCTCTTTTTGGCATCAAAGCTTACCTAGGGAGGAGGAAATTTCTGCTGCTGCTTCAGAGCTTTTAAAGATGCCCTGTTTTTCGATTCTCCCTTCTACTCAGCCCTGAAATCGCCTCCTTGAATTTTTCTAAAAGTGCCTGTTTAGCTTCAAGTTATTGACAAAGGGTGCCTCTGTAAGTTTCAGTTGTTAACTCATAATCAAATTGAGCAATTTTACAATGCTACTTTTCTTTTGGTTTTTCTGAGGTCTTACTTTAAGTGTTTTTTTTTTTTTAAATTGATTTTAGAGAGGGAGGGAGGGAGGAGGGAGGAGAGAGGGAAGGAGGGAGGGAGTGAGAGAGAGAAGAGACACACCAATCTGTTGCTTCCCATACAAACTCTGACCAGGGATTGAACCTGCAATCTAGGTATGCACCGTCCCTTACCAACAAAAAGGTTAGGTCCCACTTTATTGTGATGGTTGGGAACCCCCAATATCTCTGAGGTATGTCTGTCCTCATTATTACTACGTAAGCTAGTTCACGGTTCATTTTAATTTATAACTGTTATCTTGTGGACACCCTCTCCTACTTTTCCCTACTATATATACTACTTACTTATTCTGTACCACTCAGCTTTCCTACATTTATCTTTTTCTAATCCTTTGGCTTATTATTACTGTAGCTCTGAATCACTGATCTTTGCAAGGCACCATCTGATAAATCCTGAAGGAAACCAAACTAGGGGATATGTTCACATCCAGGAACACAGTTCAAGACATAAGGCTTAGACTTCAAGATAAAGTAAGGTACACCAGGAGAGGTGGGAACTTGTTCGTGAGAAGTATGGAGTAGAGCAGTGATGCCGAACCTATGACACGAGTGTCAGAGGTGACACGCGAACTCATTTTTTTGGTTGATTTTTCTTGGTTAAATGACATTTAAATGTATAAAATAAATATCAAAAATATAAATCTTTGTTTTACTATGGTTGCAAAGATCAAAAAATTTCTATATGTGACACGGCATCAGAGTTATGTTAGGGTTTTTCAAAATGCTGACACGCCGAGCTCAAAAGATTTGCCATCACTGGAGTAGAGGCTAAGACCAGAGAATATGAATCCTGGTTCTGCTCCCTTAGCTCTATGGACCTAGTAAGTCCCTAAGTTTCTCCATCTGAAAAGCAGAGGTGATAACAGTATTTGCACCCACCATAACATTATCAATTTGAGATAACAGCATGTGTGAAGCACTTAAGAACAGTGTCTGGCACACTGTAAACAGTAAATATTAACTATTGAAACATTTATAAACAGATAATCGGTTGACAGCAGGTGGGAAGGTAGAGCAAGAATTTGAAAATTTAGAGAAACAATCATTGAATGTTAGTTTCATTCCTTTTGTATTTTCTCATAAACTTCTCCCTCCTTAAGTCCCACTTCTAGACTGAAATACTTTTTTCTTCCTATAAAATTTCCCAGTCTTGGTGAGATTTTTTTTTTTTAACAGCATCAGTTCAAAATATTCGAAGGCAGCGACAGTAAAGCTACCAATCATAGCCTTACGGTAGACTATTTTTGTACTTTATTATCTACAAAATAGCCATGTTTCCAGTTTGTATAACCTAAACATTTGTTATTCACTTTCCTGCTGGTATAATTGGGAGTAAGGATGGGGAATAAAAAGGAAGGCAGGATTTAAAGCTTTGCCTCACCAGTTATTTTAAAGACCAGTGACAAAGGTCTTTCATAGTAATAGTCTGTCTGGACGGAGAGGCATCATTCATCTGATAAAAGCTGCCACGCACTGTGTGTGTTTGCTGTTAACATTCTTTACTCCCCTCCATGATACCCAGTGACCTCAGGCTCTCTCTTAATTCCGAGCCTCTACTGCTCTTGGGATGTAAAAACCCCTGTTCAGGTTTGGAATTGCAAATAGATTGCAGGTTGGCCACATTTGCCCCAAGATGGTTTCAGTTTGGCCTTCACACAAAAATCCAGCGTTAGGGTTTCTCTTAGAGAAAAAAACAAAAACAAAAACATAGAATAAATATCTCAGAACACAAGACCCACATTCCTGAGGGTAACATTCTGCTAAGCGCCGAACAGCTGCTCCCTTCAGTAACAGCGCGGACACTGCAATTTGCAGCATTACTGATCACCCCCATTGTCTTCCACCCGACCAGGGTCACTTAGTGGCTGTGCTTTCTCACCCCTGCAGACCTGTGTCTGCAAACTCCAGCTAGACCTTTCCTGCCTGCCACCAGAGAGGGCTTCCTTTCTCCTGTCCCTCAGCAGTTTTCCCAACCAATAGCGAGGTGACCAGGCCCGCTGTGGGTATTGCTACCTGTGCTTTCTGGAGATAGCATCCCAACAGAAAGAGGTGACTGTGCCGGTGGGAATGACAGGCACCGCGGGACCACAATCTGGATGGCAACCGTCCACTCGACTTTTTCTGCGATCCTGACGCAGCCATACCTCACTGTTCCCAGGCAAACCGAAAGGGCCGGTTTTCTGTAGAACAATGAGCACCGGCCTTCGATCACCCTAGTTCCAAAGGACCAAAAGCTACTAAGGGAGAGTCTGACCTCCGTTTCCTCGGAGGCTTCAGGATATGCGGCCTGAAAGCATTTCCCCTCACCTGATTTCGGGGCCCGTTCAGTGAGCGCCGGGCGGCAGGGCCCTAGGAGCGCGCGCGTGCAGCATGAGCTCATTTCTCAGGGGCGTTCCCAGCAGGCCCGCCCGCGGTTTAATCAATGGCCTCCGCGGCGGGGCGGGGTGGGGCGCGGCCGCCCAGGGGCGCTGCTGCCTTTCTGAAAGCTTTGTTTAGCGTCCGAAAACTCGCTCTCGGCCGGGGAGGCATCTAGCATCGATCTGGACTTTTCGGGGAAGACACTGGCACTCGGGACGCACTATCCCGGGCGGAGGGAAGTCTTGGGCGCCGCCGGCAGCCTCAGTGAGTGGGGAGAGGCCCTAAACCCTCTGCTCGCCAGAGCGCTCCGAGCCCAGCCCCACCGACCGCAGCAGTTCCGGACCGGCAGTGCGGAGAGCCCGCGCTCCCTATTTGCAGTTGACAAGATGGGTTAGCATTTTCATAGGCCAGGTGTTTAATAAAAGAGCTTTCTGTTTCTCCTTCCCCGACTAGTCCTTCAGCCGCGTCAGTTACCCGTCACACTGTCCGCCGCGGCCCCCGTCGAGCTGCTCCTGACTCCGGGGACCGCCGCCGGAGGCTGAGGGCCAATCACACTGCAGCTAGGTCTTGCGATTGGACGGCAGTGAGTGCCGATTGGCTACCGCTAGCGGTGTCGGCCTCCCTCCCTTTCCCTTTAGCCCCAACTCCAGCTCCAAAGCTTCCAGCCAATGAGAAGGCACTTTATAGACGCCCTCCCATTGCTTTCTTCTTTGCCCCACCTTGGCGAGGGAGGAGGCGTTCTGACTGGCCAGTCTGTCCTCGGGAGCCCCCTTCCGTTCACGAATCAGCGAGGGAGGCACACTCCCTGAGGGGTTTTTTTGGCCAATTACAAGGCGGCCACGGGCCCAGCCGTGCTGTTTCACCCAGAACCCCGGGTTTCACCGTTCTTAACTCTTCAAGCGTTTTTTTCTGGGGGGCCGGCGGACTCTGATTGGCCACTGTGGCCATTATCGAATTTCTCCTCCGAACAAGGCGAACCCACCTTCTTCTCGTTCGGGTATCTTCGGTATTTTTCGCCCGTTGGGCGTGGATTTCCAGTGACAGATTCTAATTGGCTCCTTAGATCTATCGGCTTTTTCCGGCAGAAGCAGCCGACAAACGACGTCCGTGATTGGCTCTGTTCGGGCTTCGGCTCCGCGACCGAAGCGGGCGGGCGCGGGGCTCGGCCGGCGATTCCCAGACG